TTGAGTGTTGAGAGCCACTATAGCTGGCACACAACAGCAGTCATGAGTGAAAGAAGAAAACGCCCCCCTGTGGCAGCATTCAGAAAAAGAAAGAAAGCAAAAGAAGTTTTTCTATCTAAGCAGGAAGGCGCTCTCCTGAGATACACAGACACAAATGTTCACGGTGAGCCTTCCGGCCCCAGTGAGGATGTGAGTGGTGCGGAGATGCCTGATCTTCCAGTTAGTCAGAGTGCAGGTGACCTGGCAGCTACTGCAGCATCCATATCTCCATCTCAAATGGGTGTAACTAGGCACATTCCTGAAGAAAAGTGTAGATCAGAGAAGAGTGTGGTGGAGGCGCAAGAAACAGCTGCTGCTGAGTTTAGTTCCTTAGGTCTAGGTGATCCAGGACTGTGGACCCACTTGAGCAGTAGCCCGAGGGACTTCCTTGTACTACATGGGCTACAGCAAGTAAAAAACTTCATTCTCCAAAGAGAATGAAAATAGAAGTTTCCATCCAACACATTCCTGATGTGAAATCCCCAATGGTGACAAAGTAGAGAGTCCATGGTGTATGTACTCAAAAACCATACATAACTTCAAATTTCTGTGTTGCTTAGTGTTGTGGCATGACATACCGTTTGAAATAAATGTTGTAAGCAAGAGACTTTAAGGTGTTGACCTTGATATATCTGGAGCAATGGAACAACTGGACAAAGCAAAGTCATTCCTAAAGTCTTACCGGCCAGATGAGGGATTTCAAAATGTTCTGAAGAGTGCACAGAAGTTGGCAGAGAAACTTCACACCAAAGCTATTTTACCACCCATCAAAAAATACAACAGTCACCAAAGAAGAAGACATTTTGATTACGAGTCACAGGTAATCCCATAAGAGACCCCAAACTGAAAGCCCTTTCAAGTTACATTTCAGCAGGATCTACCCCAAAGGCAGTTCTGGAATATATGTGCACAAATAAGACGACCAGCCTCTTTCCAAATGCTTTTGTTGGTCTGCGCATACTTCAAACACTTCCTGTAACAGTGGCCAGTGAAGAATGCAGGACCAGCCCTGCCATGGGATCAGTGCTCAGTGTGCTCACGCAGCAACCTAGCATGCAAAAGTGGACTATGATAGATGCAATGGTCCAAATAGTTAAAAACCCATCCTCCCTCTGTTCTCTGCGGTTTTCACGTTTGCAATTAAAGGAAGCCAGATATCTAGCTGCTGGAGAGCCCCCTTGTTCCAGTCAGTCTGAAGATCAGAGCTAGCATGCGCACAAATCATTATAGGGAAAAGATGGATTTTTAACTCAAAAGCCATACCCAGTTCAGCCACGTTTTCACAACTTCCCAGATGAGGCAGTGTAAGAAATGGCCGTGGTTTTGCCTGGATTTAACTCACTGTGCAATGCCACATCGCCTTGCCCAGTGTTAGATAACTAAGGGCCTATTGGACTGCAGACCAACCAGCAAATTAAACCGGAGGTGATCTTGTAATAATAAAGTGTTTATATTAACTAATAAGCCAACCTCTGCCCACGTCCAGGCATGCTTTGTGTTTGAACCCTAGGTAAAAGCCAGTGCATTCAGGCCGCCCTGGGAGTTGCTGTTTGAAGCAGCTAATCAGCTCGTTTCAAAGGAATTTTGGATTGTTCCCTGTACTGAACC